ATAATTGGTGAAGATTTGTCTATTTTAACAGGCTTTTAAACAACCAGGACATTAATGTTACTATTTTAAGAAATTTTTGATTTATGTAGCCTCTTTTTAACCTTTTTTTTTTTGTGTGTTTTTGAGATTGGGTATGATTATGAAGTTTAGGTGGGCCTTGAACTCACTTTGTAGCCCAGGTTAGCCTTGAACTCACAGCAGTCCTCCTGCCTCAGCCTCTCATGAGCTGAGATTGCAGGCATGTGCCCCCATACCCGGCTTTTTTTACTTTTTACTGTTTTGAAAATTCTTAGTTTGAGTGCTTTTGTAAATGTTTTGGTAGATTTTTAGTACAAAAATGACTTTAAAGCATAAGTAGAGACTGTAAAACTATAATTTCCTATAAGTATACCTTGGCTTTTTAAATGTATTATTTATCTTAATCCATTTGGGCTGCTATAATAAAATACTTAAGACTTGGTTATTTATGGGCAACAGAAATTTATTGCACACACTTTTGGAGCGGGAGGTCCTAGATGAGTACACCAGCAGAACTGGCTTCGGGCGAGGGCTCTGCTCTGCATGGGGCACATTACCCAGCATCCTGTGGCAGAAGGGGCAAGGGGCAAGATGATGGCTACATCATCATCTTTAAAAGGGCACTGCTCCCATTCTTACATATGGAGCTTTCCTTTGAGAAATTATTATTCCTCAGAAAGCACCACCTTTTAAAATAATTACATTGGGTATTAGATTCCAGCATGTGAATTTGAGACACCAACATTCAGATAATAGCAGTGTTCATTTTTTTGTAATTAGTCCATTTTACTCTTAATATTTATTTGATAAGATAATTAGAAAAGTAATTTTTAGATGTTACCTTTAAAAGGTTATATAGTATATTGTGTAATTACTAGTTTATTGCATATGTTTAGAAAGTAAGAAAATGACTACAAAAATTCAAGGGACAAGAAATAGCTTCAGTGGGGAGTTTAAACTTTGAACAACTGAATAGTTATTCCCAAGTGATTATTTTACACTGAAAGAGTAAATTACACTTTTAATCCACAGATTTAAATTGTTTCCTGTATTCCTCTCTAATCAGCTCTTAGAAAAAAAGGCTACACTATTTTGTCCAACTGAGTTATGACATGCAGATTTTTGTCTCTGGCCTATATCAAATAAGCAGCTACAAATTGTTAGTGTTCTGAAGTAGCAAATTTGGGGCTGAACAGAGTTTGGGAAGGGCATCTGCTGTGAAATATCGTAGAAGACACTGGGAAGTGGTGTACATCTGAGATTGCAAGGATGATATGAGTCAGGTGAAAGTGCTTTTAAGGTCAAGGTCTTGAGGTTGAACAGGACTTGTCTTCTGGGAATGGACAAAAGGTCAACATACAGGCAGGCAGCACCGTAAACCAAGTTGAGAGTCACACAAGCTAAGGTTGGAGATGCAGCTGATATAGATTCTTGAACTTTTTGTTTAAGAGTTGATGGCATATGTATCAGTTAGTATAGGCTACATTATGCTATCATAACAAATAACTCCCCCCCCAATTTCAAAACATAGGTTTATTTTTAATGGAGTTTTCTGAAATTCTACATCTTCACTCTGGGATCTATACTTTTGGAGCAGCCTGAGACTTTGCTGATTATTAAAAAAAAATGAAAGATAATCTTCAAGCTGCTGGCAGACAGGACACATGCCATTTCTACCCACATGTCCATGGACAAAACAAGTCATATAGGCACATCTGATTTCACTAGGAGGAAGATGTGTACTCCTACCCCAGCGAAAGAAAGTGAACATTGGTATAATTCTTTTTGTAAATATATATCCTTCCACATATGCTAGTGCAGAGGTAAGGCTATCTACCCTTTCTCCTTACTTACAGATTCACAGTTATTATCAGATTAAAGATGGCTCTAAACACGAATATTTAGCATGTACATATTTTAAGACCTCAAGTCCCCAGTAGCAAAAACATAAACAAAACAATTTCATCTTCATGGGTCCTTACTTTGGAGACAAAGTTTAAGTGAACTTCAGGATAATAGGATTTCAGATTTATTAGTTATTTAACTGTAAGGACCATTTATTCTTTTGGTAAACAGTTCAGAGCTGGAGAAAGGACCATTTGCCTAGAGTACTAAACAGCATAATCTAATGCAAATAACTTACCAAGTTCTCTTGCAAACAATAAAGTCTAATATCTTGGCACTTTATTTATGTTTAAATTTAAAAGTGAGTTCATGTATGTATCAGTAAGTCCATTTTCTGGACCAGGAAATGGAGACATTTTATCTCTCAAAACTCACAACTCAGAGTCCTATCAAGGAGAATTTAAATGGGCATTATTATCCTTTTGAGCCCTCAGAGCCACCAGTGAAGTTAGTAAATTGTTAATATCACCTGTGGTCAACGGATGGGAAACCAGCACAAGTGTTGGGACAAAAATGTGAGTGACAGAAAATTACAGGAGAAGTTGGGTGCAGATGAGAAACTTTATCTCACAGTGCCAGAATCATACAAAATCACCTTCACTGTCACCCTGAAACATTGTGTTGAGGTTGCCCATTGTAGCATGAGATTTTCCCATCTATATATTTTTTCTCATCAAGCCTTGTTTACTACTGGGAAAATGCTCCTCTGATGGAGCAGTTTAGAAAATCTTATTCTCCATAAATAGTTACATGTCTAGTTTTGCTTGATGAAAGTGTAACTTAATCACCTTCTAGAACAATAACCCTGATCGCACCTATTCTGAAGGAGATAAAGGGAATTAAATTTGATGTATGTATTTGGATTCTCAAAAGACTGTTGAATCTTTTCATAATGATTTTTGGAGGCCTGTTGCCACACTTTTAACAACTGTGTAATTCTATCGACATCCTGTTGACAGTAGACCTAGGAAGACCACAGTCACCATGATCACATGGCCAGCACAGAGACATCTCATTAAAGATGCTCAAGAAGAATTCCAGCATGGATGATGGACCCCAAAAGATGGACCACTGTTTGAAGAACCATTGGCTTTCTCTCAACTCATGCCTACTTCTCAGAAGCTGTACATAAGGCAGTTAACTATCTAGCATTAAAAGAAAACTTAAACATTGGGAGTTGTGTTGATGAAAACTACTCTATAGTTTAAAGTTTGAAAAACACCTTCTAAACACTGACCAGTCTCGATAAGAAAAAAGTATTAACAAATGAATGTTGACTTACAGATAGAATCTTCAATACTACATATATTTTCAACCAAATAGATAGTACTCAGCAAATATTTTGAGTTAATAGATACATGTGCCTAAATAAAACATTTCATGAAGCAGATAATTCCATGTTCTCCTCTCAAACAAATTTTATTTGCACTCTGCTCTAACAAATATAATATGAAGGCAACAGTTGTTTAAGTGTTAGCACAGATCAAAAGAAACAGATTTAGAAGCAGTCCAGCATTTCCAGGCTGGTTTAACAAAAGAGGCACATATTACCCTATTTAGCAGTTTATACCAGAAGACTTTTTTTCCCCTTGCAAGCAACAGACTACATTTATTTGCGTTAAGTAAAAACATATCTTGATCAAGAAAATTACTTTTATTCTGATTTTCCTTTATATCACAAATGTTAGGGTAAGGCAAATCCTTAATGAGTCATATGATAAAAACCCTATTCCCCAAGAAAATATATTGGACGTATTCTGCTAACTTTGTTATTTTTCAAAGCACAGGCGACATGCATCACATACAGAGAAATGTCTTTTCAAATCAAATGCATCAAGCAGAACTGTATTAATTCACAAAGAGGCTTTTCAGTGTTTCATAGAAAGATTTACAATTAGCTGTGGTGATTAATATGTGACCCAATATCAGACAGTGTTTTGGATGCCTTCTTTTCAGCTTTTATGAAAGAAGGCTTGTCCATCATCTGAACAGTGACCAGCTAGAGGAATAGCCCCTTTGTCTCACCCAAAGTGAGTACCTTTTTAATTAGGACTGTTATGCTGAAGGCCTACTTCGATCCTCTGTATGCAAACGTGACTCCTGCGGGGCTGTTTCCCTCCCTCCCTCCTGCAACCCTTCATGCTACAGAGCCTGGCTGAAGTACTGTTGGACATTGACATCCACAACCCATGTGCAGGAGAATCAATTAGCTTTTAAAATTTATTCCATTGTATAGCCTGTGCACTGACAACCCCAGCAAATGAAGGCTTGCTGTGTTGAGATGTTGTCCATCTGGCCAATAGCTAGATTATTAATATTTCACTATTGAAGTGGAAATTAACTATCATTTGTTTTAAAGCATGAAACCATAGAGCCAAATAGCAACTGAAAAGCATAACAAAACCAAGATGAAAATGCAATCTAATCCTAAAATGAACTTTAAACCTATTCAGGAATGGGATGATAATATTTATGCCTCAATGTCTTAGTTTTCTGGATACAGAGATTACTTTCCTTTCTCTACAACTTTCAGACCAAGAACTTACTCTTCTCATTCCTACCTCACTCACACTTAACAAGAATGACTAAAAGGGCCCTCAGTGGTGGTAAGGAGAATGCCTGGACTGGGATAATTCCAATCTTGGCTGTTCCTAGCAAGAATATTAAGGTCTCTCTCACCTTAGCCCATTAAAAAAACCTCTATCCCACTTATTTCCTTGTTGTTTTCAAGTATAACTCATTATAGAGGCTGAGTCACACTAACGTTGGGAGTTGCTAGAAAACAAGTTCCTAGCAGATTGCATTTGTCAGGCACTTCACAAGAGTGATGACGTTCAACTGAGTTATAAAATGGCATGAAATATAGAAACTGTCAGTATTTGGATGGCATCGGTTCTTAGATGCTTCAAAATAAGCCTTGTCTTTGCTCTTCCAGAAAGCAATGTCACATGTCAATACAGGACATATATGCTTCAAACTGTAGAAGAGAAACGGCCACAGTCCAACTTCATGAAATCACTTAAGTATCATGACTGCTATGCTGATGAACAGCTGTAAAAAAATAAGACACACTGAAATATGACATATGCAGAGTTATAATTTGCTAATTATGCCAATATACCAACTAAGCCATGCAGGAGGGGCAACAAATTCAGAAAGGCCAAAAATAAAAGTCATCAGAAGACAAAACGATGAGTTTTCCAAAGAAGAAAAGACAGAACCAAAGACTGGATGGGATATTTAGGAAATAGACATCCTGTCATTTTAGAAATACTCAAGTTGATTTCCTACTGTTCTCCTTTTATTAAAGCTCTAAACAGGAAGGCAGAGGGATTTAAGAAAATATGCAGTAAATACAAGTTTCCACAGAAAACAAGGGAATGGCCTTGGAACCAAGCGTCTTGCTTTATGTTGGCCCTGGGATAGATACCTGTGATGACTTTTGGTGCTTGTGCCCACCACTCCACAGGCATCATCTTATGCTGATCCCCTGATGGGCCAGTCATTGGTTTCCTAGTGAGGGAGCCAGCTGTCAAAGGAGCCTGGAACTGGGTGTGAATAAACCATGCCATATAATGCAGAGCAGAGAGCCGGCACTGTAAGCAAAAGCTCTGATTGCTTTTAATTTCCAGTGGGATTCTGCTTAGTGGTCATGGATCCTTGAGTAAACCATGGACTGTTATTTTGTGAAAAACACAAGAGACTTCAAGTGGACATCTCAAAAGTAATAGGCATATGTTTGAGTCCTAAATGCAGCAAGCCCTCTTAGGTCTTGACATCTACAGAGGCTTTCTTTACCATTGTTACATGGTATGATTCCGTGTTTCATTTTAATATAATTTATTACAGTAGAAGGCATATTACCATTAATCCCTTTCAAAATATTCCTCAGTTTGAACACACACGTTCCAACATTCTTGCCACTTTCTGAAGCAGTTTTAGAAGTTTTCTTTCATATCTTGATTTCTGTCATCATGGCTGTCTACCATATCCATGATCGACTCAAAATGTTCACCTCACAAGGCCATTTTGAATTTGAGGAAGAGCCATGAGTTCTACCATGCCAGAGCCTGTGAATGAGGACACACTGTTTTTACCAGCCTGCCTTGTCTACTGGATGGCTCCTAGCAGCAGCACTCACTGATTTTTTGATCACACCTCATAAGGACAGTCAGGAAAAGGATGTCCAGAACTGCTGTAGAGAGTGGCAAGAATGATAGGAGGAGTGTGTTCAAAGCAAGAGGGAGTGTTTTGAAAGGAAGTATTAACAGTGTGTCTTTTAGTGTAATTTTTAAAAATTTAAACATTCACCATATATTTCAGTCATACCTCATACATCTCATGGCGGGCTCCATGCTGAAGCTCATGGTAAGAGTCATGAACCAACTAAACTTTGCTGAAAATCAACATGGTGCACCACCTGACCATGAAGTAAAGGACCCCAGTGGCCACCAGGACCTACATTACTTGTTACACCTCTGTGCTCTTGGTTAAAGCCTCTTTCCACAGCCCTCGCTAGCTACAGGGGACACACTGTACCTTGGAAACCCTGAAAATACATTTTAAACTCATCATTCAGACCTTTCCAAAGTGGATTCTGAGAGTTCTTCACATTTTCTATCCTTTTCTTTTCCCTGTGGATTATACTGACACAGCTTGGTGATTGCTGAAATTTGGCCTGCACCCTGTCAACCATCATCTTCCTCTTTGGAGAAAGCACTGTAGGGCCAGCTTTGTGAAATAACTGAGAAGGCAGGTGGGCCAGGAGACACACATGAGTGTTAAACCCTTCCACCGGGACCTGGGGCAAAGTTGGAGAGCAAACAGAAGTGACAGGGACAGTGCCTGAAAGATGCCTTAGCATGGATCCTCCCACCAAGATAAGGAAACTTTTTTTTCTTTCATTTTTGCCAGGTAAATAGAACATAATGCCGGTGGAGAAATGAGAGCAAAGGAGCCCCATCCTTCCTCTGAGGGATGTTCCTCCCCCCACCCCACCCCACCCTCCTGCACAGCGCAGCTGTCATCTCCCCAACTCCCCAAGGCCACGAGAGGCCTCGAGGGGCTGAGGGCTGTCCTTGAGTTTCATCTCTGTTCCTGTGCTTCACCTTGTGCCCCTGCAGAAGACAAGGAGAAACCATTTGTTAGATTAAAGAGAAGGCATCTTCACAGGCTCAGTAAGGGATGTCTTTTTAATGCACCCATTTAAATGTCTCTCACCCCTCAGTCCTAAGAATCTTATTTGATTATCAAAGAGGTTTGACTATTGGGGCTGTGATTGCTGGCACAAGGTATCTTTAAAAAGGGTATGAATCAGTGCTAATGTGTGCCACATCGACATCCCACTTTAGCATTAGTTGGGGGCTATTCAACTCTTCAAAGTATGCTTTGAGAAACCATGAATTGATGTGTCCTCCCTTTTCTGGCCCATTCACATTAGTTTCTAGGGACCAGCATATATATTAATAATTTATATAATGCTGATTTACAAAAGTCATTGATGTTTGTGCTACCAGCTGAGACTTTTATTAACTGTCTGCTGTGTTCTTCACCCATGAGAGAACTCAAAAAGATACTGTGCCCCAGAAGAGTCTATACTCTTTTTTAGAGTATTAAAAATAGAGATAGAATCTAATTATAGAGATCTAAAGCATGTAGTTCCTTCTGTTTTGAAAAATATATTTAATCCATATCACTATCAAGATGCTAGAACATTTCCATCACTCCAGATGGAATCCACTAAACCCATTTCTGCTGGAACCTACAATTGGAATGATTTCTATTACCACAGATTAATTTTTTCTGATCTAGAACTCCGTACAGATGGACTTACACAAGTATTTCTTTTGTGCATCCTCCTTTCACTTAGCATAACGTTGTGGAGTTTCATTCCTGTTGCTGCTGTTGGCCATAATACATTCCTTTCTGTTACTGGCTAGCATTACATTGATTGCATTTTGAAAATATATCGCTTTTTTTCATGCCTTTCTGCTGTGAGATATTAGGGTCATATGAAGTTTTGGGCTTCAGTAATATTACAATGAATATTCCTTTAAAATTTTTTATTATATCAAGGGGATCCATGTGATTTCTATTCCTGTACACAGTGGGCATTTATCGTATTTAATCATATACCCCCACATTTCTAATTCTTATCCACTATTCTAATTTCAGGTTGACTTAAGTATCCACATATGAGAGAATATGTAGTATTTATCTTTCTGTGTCTGCCTTACATCACGTAACATACTGCAGTGTCCTCCAGTTTCATGCATTCTGTTGCAAATGACAGGATTTTATTCTTCTTTATGGCTGAATACTCCATTGTGCATATGTACCACATTTTCTTTATCCATTCATCTGTTGATGAGCAGTTAAGCTGATTCAATATCTTAGCTATTGTGCATAGTACAGCAATAAATATGAGCATGCAGGTATCTCTTTGATATGCTGATTTTATTTCCTTCAGATATATACCCAGGAATGGGATGGCTGAATCATATGGTAGTTCGATTTTAGTTTATTGAGGAACCTCCATACTCTTCTCTATAGTGTTTGTTCTAATTTACATTTTCACCAACAGCATAGAAAAGTTCCTGCTCCCCTCATCCTTGCCAGCATTTTTAAAAATAATAGCCACTCTAAGGTATCTCATTGTAACTTCCATTTGAATTTTCTTGATGGCAGATGATATTGGCAATTTGTATTTCTTCTGAGAATTAAATGTTCATATCTCACTTGTTCATTTTTAAATTGTATGGCTTGTCTGTTTAAAAGATTTTTGAGACCTTTATAAATTCTGAATATTAATCCTCTGTCAGCTGAAAAGCTGGAACATATTTTCTCTTGTAGGTTTTTTTCTTTACTTGGTTTCTGTCATGGTTTGGGGGATATTTTGCAATGGAGAACAAAATAGTACAGGACACATATTTTATAAGATTATTTATAATAGTCACCCAAAGAATCATATACAAGACAGTGCAGGAAATCTGTCCACACAGTGTAGACCAGGAATCCAGCTGAGGGGCTGGATCCCATGATAATGTCCTACATGATTCCAGCTGAATACCTGCAGCCCATAACAATTCCTCCCATGAGTCCAGCTGGAGGCCCAGAGGCCATAACAACATCTCATGCAGGCCTGTTTCACAGATCTGTGCTGGGAAGGCCCATAGGTCAGTGGTGGAATGTAGAAAGTCTGTGCTTGCAGGATGAAGGATCTGTACTAGCAGGCAGAGGGATCTGCACTGAAGCCCGGAAGCGACGCTCAGGAGAACCAGAGCTTCCCCGAAAGGTACCACAAACATCCTTAGCAACAGTGAGGTCCCAAGCTCTTCCGATGATCAAGACAGCTGAGTTCCCATCAGGAAAGCCAATGCAGCAAGCTTCTCCAGGAGACTGGAAATGCACCATCTTCCCCTCTGGAGCCAGGAAGCAATGCTCAAAGTTCAGATCAGAGCTCCCCCAAAGTGAAGCAAAGCGATTCTCAGTGCCAACAAGGTCCTGAGCTCCTCGGAGGATGAAAACAGCCAAGTTCATCAGGAAAGTCAGCATGACGAGCTCCTCCAAAATAACCAACAGCTCCTTACAGCTTCTACCAGCTCCCAACATCCTTTCTCAGCTCCCAACAGCCTCATTTCTTCTCCAGTTTTGCCTCTTATACTGCTGACAACAATCCTCAGGTGAACCTGACACACCCAGCACCACATTTACTCAGTTCAGCTGGGGCTTATAAATTGACCACCAGTTGTCAATCCCTGCAGTTTCCTTTGCTGTGCAGAGGATTTTTAGTTTGATATAATCCCATTTTCAGCTTTTGTTTTTTGTGTTTTGGGGACCTATGGACAAAGTCATTGCTTGTACCTATGTCTTGAAATGTCTCCCCTATGATTGCTTGGAGTAGTTTCAGAGTTTCAGGTTTTACATTTAGGTCTTTGATCCACTTTGAGTTTACTTTTGTACAGAGTAAAAGGTAAGGATTCAGTTTTAATTTTCAGTACATGGATGTTGAATTTCCCCAGGACTGCTGTCCTTTCTCTATGGTATGTTATTTGTGCCTTTGTTGAGCATCAGTTGATTGTGATTGTGTGGGCTTATTCCTGGTATCTCTATCCTGTCCCATTGGTGTGTGTATCTATATTTAAGCCCAAAATAGGCTGTTTTGGTTACTATGGTTCTACATATGTCTGGAAATTAGGTATTGTGATGCTTCCAGCTTTTACTTAAGAGTGCTGTCACCATTAATCTTGATTGTCAACTTGACTGGATTAAGAAATACCCAGAAATTAGTAAAACACATTTCCAGGTGTGTCTAGGGTGCTGTCTGAGATGATCTGCATTTAGGCCAGCAAAAGAAGGGAGGAAGAGCCATGCTAATTTGTGTGGCTCTGTGCAGTAGGCTTGTAGCCTGGATAGAATGAAAGGGGAAGGAGGAGGGAGTTGGTCTGTGTTTAAGCAAGTGTGTCTTGCTTTTATTGGCTGAGGATGTCAGGCTTTCTTCAGCCTTTCAGTATGAACTTAGATTAGTCACTCTCTAGGGAACGTACAGGCATTGTCTCAGACTAGGGCTGTATCCATGACCCCTATTATTTTACAGCTCCCAGCTTCCTGGGTTGAACAACTACTAAATTCTCCAGCTCTCCAGAATGCAGGCAGCCATTGTGGGACGTGCCATCTTTGATCTTGTATGCGTATCTGATAAATCTCCTTGAATAATTTATATATAATATATAATTATTATTATATACAACTTAATATAAATAAACTATACAAAGAGATTTATATAAAATATTTTTCCTAGTCTATTCCTGTAAAAAATCCAGCCAATGTAATTGCTTTGGCAACTTGAGGTCATTTTTGCTTCCCTATGAATTTTAGCTCTCTGAAGGATGTCATTGGTATTTTGATGAGATTTGCATTGAATTCTGGATCAAAACAATATTTTATACAGTGCTAATTCATCCAATGCATAACTAATGGGAGGCCTTCCTCTTGTGGGGGCCCTTTAATTTTTTTTATCAGTGTATTTTTATTTTCTTTGAAGAAGTCTTCACTTCCTGGATTAAATTTGTTCCTAGATTTTTAATTTTATACTTGTATCTGAATGGAATTACTTTTGCTTTTTTTCTGAGCAAATTCATTATTAGTGTATGGAAAAACTACTGATTTTTGTATTTTAATATCCTGCTACTTTACTGAATTTATCAATTATAACAGTCTTTTGGTAGAGCCTCACATATTCCCTATCTAATAGCACATCATCTGCCAATAGGTATAATTAACTACTCTTCTAATTTGTGTACATTTGTTACTTTTTCTTGATGAATTGCTAAAACTTCTAGTACTGTATTGAATACGAGCAATAAAAGTAGTTATCTTTGTTTTGTTACTGATCTTAAAGGAAATGCTTTCAGCTTTTTCCCATGCAGTATGACACTACATGTGGGTTTGTCATTTGTAACCTTTATTATGTTGAGGTATGATCCCTCTACACCTGTTTTATTCAGGATTTTTTTTTATCATGAAAGGATGTTGAATTTTCTTACATACTTTTTCATCAATTGAGATCATCCTATGAATTGTACCCTTCATTCTGTTTATGTATTCTTTATTGATTTGTGTATGTTGAACCATCCTTGCATTTCTAGGATGAAAGGAACTTGACCATGGTAAATGATCTTTGTGATATGCTGTTGAATTTTATTTTCTAGCATTTTGTTAAGAACTTTTATATCTGTTCTCACCAAGTGTCTTTAGTTTTCTTATTTTGTTTTTCAGCTGTGTTTTTGCCCTATTTTGGTAATGCTGGCCTTACAGCATATATTTGGAAGGGTTTCCAAGTCAATGGAGTAGTTTAAGAAGCAAAGGGCATTAATCTTTTTTTAAATGTTTGGTGAAATTCACGAGTAAAGCCTTCTGGTCCTAGCCTTTTTTATGAGGAGATTTTTTTAAATTACTGACTCAGTCTCATTACTTGTTATGGTCTATTCGCATTTGCCACTTTTTCATAGTTCACTTTTGTTTGGTCCTACAGAAATAGAAATTTGTTCATTTATTCTAGGTTTTCTAATTTCTTAGCATATAGCTTTGCAAAATAACCCTAGTAAGGCTTTGAATTTCTGTGCTATTAGTAGAAATGTCTCCTTTTTTAAATTCAATTTTGTCTATTTGGGTTGTATTGTTTTTAGCCTTAATAAAGGTTTATGACTATTATCTTTTAAAGAGCCAACAATTTGTTTTATATTGTTTTAAATCTCTATTTTCTGTTTGTTTTGTTTACTTATGCTTTGATTTTTGTTATTTTTTTTCTTTTACTACCTTTGGGTTTGATTTGGTTTTGCTTTTGTAAATCCTTTAGCTATACCATTAGGTTGACTATTTGAAATATTTTTCAATATATGAACTCATTGCCATAAAATTACCTCTTAGTTTGGTAGTATTTTTGCAGTAACCCACAGATTTCCCTATTTTGTGTTTCCATTTGTTTCAAGGAATTTTTAAACTTTCCTTCTGACTTCCTCAATGACCAACTGTTCTTTCAAAAGTATTTTGTTCAGTCTCCATGAATGTCTATACTTTCAAGTTTCTTTTGTAGACTTCTAGATTTATTTTATTATAATTACAGTGTATAGGGTAAGAATTAAGTTTTTTTAATTTAAGGCTTGTTTTGCAGAATAATATATGGTTTGTTCTACAGCAAGTTCCATGTTCTGTTGAAAGGAATGTGCATTGTGCTGCTGTTAGAATGTCCTATAAATATCTTTTGAGTCCATTTGTTTATAATATAGTAGAATTCTGACTTTTTTGTCAGAATGACATGTTCATTAATGACAGTGTCATCCTGAAATATCCACTTTTGCTGTAAGCCTAATTTTTTTTATACTACTGAATTATCTAATAGTAGACAGATTTGTATTCACTATATTTTCTTGATAAATATATCACTTGAACATTATCTAGTCATCTTGTCTCTTATTACACTTTTTGTTTTAAAGTCTATTTTGTCAGATATAAATGTAGCAACTTCTGCTTCAATTACTATTTGCTCAGAGTACCATTTTCTATGCTTCTGCTTTCAGTCTTATATATCTTGTCCTATAAGTGAGTTTCTCATAAGCAGTATATTTTTGGGTCTTATTTTTAATATATTTAGCCATTCAATAATAACTTGAATATAAAGGACTTAGTTGTATCCCTACCCTTTGTTAATTTTTTTTAATTTGTTTTGAATATTCTTTTTCATTTCCTTATCTCTAATTTATCTTTGTGACTTGGTTTATTGAATTTATAATGTTTCATTCCTTTTTTTTGCATATTTATTCTTCTAGTGGCATGTATAATTTCACATGGTATTATGGTGGTTATCTTTCTTTCAGTTGTAGAGCTTGTCTGTTAGTCAAACTTTCTGAGATTTTGCTTGCTTTGAAAGATCTTAATTTCTCCCTGATTTCTATAGGAGATCTTTGCTAGCACCATAATCTTGGTTAGTAGTTATTTACTTTCAGGGCTTTAAATACATCATTTCATTCCTTGATGGTGTATACTATTTTGCTGATAAATCTGTTGTTACTCTAATAGGGATAACCTTAGATGTACCTTAGCACTTTTCTCTTGCAGATTTTAATGTTCTTTTTTTGCCTTATACTTTTGAGAATAGCTTCCTGTCAAGATATTCCCTACTAAAACTGCCTGGGTAAGATGCTTTTTCAAAGTAAGGAAGTAACCTCAAACCTATACCATATACTAAGTTGCTGCAAACCTGTGAGGACCTTGAAACTTTACTGGGACACCTTTACCTTTACTCCTGAAAAAGAAAAGAGAGATCTTTTCACCCTGGGTTGTGAAGCTAGGATATTTTCTTTCTTTTACTACATTAATGTCCCAAGGTCTTTGGGTCTCACAGTGTTTCAAACTCTCTTACAGAGTTCTTTCATTGGGATTGTTTCTAGATACTTCCGAGGCTACCTACATCTATGGCTACTCAAATCCCTTATATAAATGGCTTGGTGCATATAACCTATGTATACCCTCCCATGTACTTCAAGACACCTTTAAATTACTTATTGTACCTAATACAATATAATGCTAGAGAAATAGTTGTTTAGGAAATAATGATAAAGAAAAAAGTCTTATCTATTCAATACAGATACACTTTTCTTTTTTTTTAATATTTTTGATCCGTGGTTGGCTCAATCTGTGCTTCAAAAGACTGACCATATTATAAAATATGCAATTATATTGGATACTGGCAAAACAGAAGAGAACACTCGGCTCAGAAAACCAGTCTTATTATAGTGACTCAGCATGTGAGAGCAGGTAAGTCAATAAATTTATCCAGGTCTTACGTTAGTCACTTGTACAAGGAAACAACAGAACAGGTGGTCTCTAAAGTAACCTTTTTCCAGTGGCCTATGAATCTTTAGAAGATAGTCTGAAGTGTCTGTGCATATATAAAATCAAAACATGTTTATTGTAGACAATGTTCAAAGTATTCAAAAGCAATAAGAGGAGAATGATACTTATCTCCGCCAAACTATGTTTAGAAACTCACTACTCTTTAGGGAGTAGCATGGGATCATCAAAAGATTTTGAACTGGGAGTGTTTAAGCTTCTAGTCATTAGCCAGTGCCACACAAATTGTTTCATTTTCCTGGAATTCAGTGTCTTTAAACTTGGTAAAGATGCTTCAGTTTTTACAACTTGTTCATTTAGGATAACATGTTCATGCTTATGGTCAAAAAAGAGATTTTGATATTATCTCAGGAAAACACTACCCTTGTACTGTTCTTTGGATATTAATCACACAGGAAAATGATGAGGTGTATAAGAAAAAAATCTAGGCAAAAAGTTTATAGTTTGTTGGCAACAAAAAGGCAAAAGGTCAGCAAACAGTAAGGAGCCTGCATATAGTTCAAATTAGTCCATTTCATTACTTTTTGCAGTAATAGGGATTTAACAGAGGCAGAACCTTACATAAGTAAGCAAGTGCTCTGTGTTGCTAGACATTTCCTCACTTCTCAACAGAAATTTTGCTGTCTCATTTCAGTAGCTTAGCAGGGTATTTTAAATACATGAACAAGGTAGAAGAGATTAGAAAAGTCCTGTTTGTATAAGTTTATATTTTTAGTAGTTCTGTGTTATTCATGTTTTACACATAGGCTATTACTTTTACTTTTCTGCAAAGTTGAAGACCACTATGTGGATGACAGATGTGTTTTCAAACTTTATTCTGTGATGCTTTAGTCTGGTGCAGCCTAAGCTCTGAAGAGAGTACACAGACCAAGACGATGGTGTAATACAGGAGGCGACCATGTCAACCATCTGTGTCTTACTTTCAGTGACTCATAATACCTTATTCTAAGGGCATTTTAAAAATAAACAGCTTCATATTTTAAGCTAGGGACTGTAACAGCCTTAAGAGTGAGGCTGACTTCTTTACCGCCCTCTCAATATATGGAAAAGGGTAATGGATCACTCATCATTCTAGATCTATTTCAGTCTCTAGTTTATTATGTTTGTCTGAAAGTCTTAAATTTTGCTGGATACAGACTTTTTATTTTCCTGGGGAAATTCTTTAGGCTTTTTTCAACTCAGCGAACCTTGTGTAGATGCACATGTCCTCAGGTAGTGTTGTAGAAGGGAGGACCCCAGGCAGACTTGTTTCTGTTACACATACTCATATAACTTTATGCCTTCTCCAGGGCAAAGATTTAGTGTTATGCTTAAAAAGAGATATTCCAAACAACTCAGCAGGTAGCTTCTGGAAAAGCAATATTTTAGAATCAGCTTGGGGTTGCTGAAATAATTTGATCACTCCAAGAGGCCAAGGGGTGGGACAGAAAATATTTTTGTCATTGTCAAAGTGCAGAAAACTAAGGTATTGCATGGTTTAAATTATGCCTTGGCTTATCTTTTCCCCTTCAAGATGGCAAGGCTGTAGGGGATAATCCTTCTTCTTTACACAGTGTTCTTTGGTTTAAAGATTTTAAACATTTAGCCAAAGCCATGTTATAGGACTTGGAAAACCCAACAGTATGACAATATGTTATTTGCAAACAATTCCTTACAGCTGATTAAGCAATTGAAAAAATCCTACCACCAGGGATTCTTACCTATTGGTGATCTTGCTGACTCTCTGTCGGGTCATTTATACTGTCAGCTTGACTGTTCATTTCAACTGTAACCAGAAAGGGAAACAATAAATGTTAAATATTTATTGAACAAATCTCTTAAACATATTAATATGGCCTATGATTTGATAACTTCTTGGTTTTCTGTCTTATGCCTTTTCTCAGTTTGTTTTCATTCATGAGTTTACAACACTGTTGTATATTTTTACAGGTGGGAGCTGGGAAGGCAGCATTGCCCCTGTAGAAGCTGAGCTGTTACTTCATATTGGATTTTTTATTTGGTAATTTGGGTATATTTATTATTGTCCATGAAGAAACGGGTCTTCATATGTATATATCTTAAAAAATAAAGAGCAAAAATATAAAAGGTACATTGATATGTACAGAGGCAACCAGTTTCCTCTCCAAAATCGCAATGTCAATGGATCTGTTGGTTTGCCATATTTTCATTTTCATAACTCAAAACAGACCCTGCAGACTTGCCAATGGCTGCAGCAGCAGTGAGTGTTGTGAAATAGAAAAGCAACACATCTAACCAGGTCACACAGCCATGGAAGGAATGTATGCTTTTACTTGAATGTATGTATTCTGTGAGCACTTGCATTAAAATAGAATGCATAATCACTGCCCTTCTCTAGAAGAAGCACAAAGCGGTCATAGCTGTGATTCTGGAAATTTTCAAGGGTCAGCAGCTTTAATGAGATTGATATTTTTAAAGCCTCCAAGCGCCTGCTATAAGCTGAGAGACTGAATATACAAATGGACAATAGCCAGATAATCTCTAACAATAGAACTGATTGAAAACCAGAGTAGCAACCAGTGTCAGCTGCAACAGACTCAGAATATTAAGGACTTGGTCAGTGATCATCAGCTTCCCTGTTTTCCATTTCCAGCTGGAGACTGACCAGAAAAAGGAAAAATAAGCTTCCTAACCAACACCCTAGAATGCCCAACTTCTAGTTGGCAGTTTCCAATTGTACCATGCCAAGGACCTCCAGACACTAGATGCTGGGTCTTTCCTTTTGTTCCTACTTCCTTGCCCGAGTATATCAAACCCAAGTGATAATGGCTGATACACTCACTAGTGCAACTTCTGAATAAGTAATCTCATCTGGGTGGCTTTTGTTTATTTGCATAAAACCCAAAATGTAAATCTTTTTCTTTAGCTCTCTTGATGGGTAAAATAGTGGAAGATGCTGGTGTCACACTCCAAAGATACTTGGAAATAGGAGGTGGCACTTTATAGCATCCCATTCCACTTTCTCCTGATGAGCAGAGCTTGGAAAGCCTCCTCATTTTTGCTTGCAAACCATCCTGGTTTCTGCAGAGGTGTGAACTCATCTCAAACCCCATCTGTAAACTGGCCACATGTAGCAACTGTTACTATAGAGTGTTTTTGTCCTACTGGTACATAGGTCTCTGGTTAATAACAGGGTTGCTACATAAAGTTCATTCATACCAGTATGGAAGATAGGAGAGAATTCTTGTCCTGGTCCTCCTCTCCACCAAGGGATACTGGTTATAAAACCTATTAATAAGCTTGGGGAAGGCAATGTTAAACCTTGTTAAATAAGTTTCTTTAACACTGGAACTGCTAAGAATCTGTAATCCTTCTCTGTGCATGGTGAATCTCCAAGAACTAAAACTCAATATTTCATAGTTATCACCATATTATTGAGGGAGCATTGTGTAGGTCTGATATCCTTCAGAACTTCCTTTGTCAGAAGCAGGAAGGAACCATGTTTGTAGCTGTCGTAATCAGTCTGGAGTAGGTTTAGTTAATCTGAGCATTGCTGGCACGTTTTGGGTTTTGATGGATGAATTTTGAGTTTAGAAACACTATCTCCTAGTTAATGCACACCTATGAGTTAAGATTAGTTTGTGCAAAATGGTTTATGATCTAGGGAGGAAATATTGAGGAGGGTAGGAATATCTGGTACATGAAAATCTTTAAAACCAACATGTAACTTCCACTACTGACTGAATTTTTGTCTAGGTAATTATCAACTCAGTAGTTTACTTTTCTTTGGCTAAAAAACCTGGTGCAGCAAGATGGGCAGTTGAGTAAGGTCCTCCATGGTCATTTTCCCAAACAAACACAAGGTTTAACAGCTATTCCTTGGCCAACTACCTTTACAAGAGGTAAGGAAATCAAATGAGACCATGGTGCCTACATTTTATTATAACAAAATGAAGAGATGTAGGCAGGCAGGAAGAAGAAGGCAGGAAGGAAAGAGTTGCCTACAGCACCCCACGCTCAAATAGCTCATCACAGAGTGAGATGACTCTCAATTAGGGTAAGGGTTAAGTCTAGGCCTTTGAACCCAGTACCAGGCTAATCATGGTGAAAGTCAGAACTGGACAAAACCTTGTGACCCTGATGACAGATCAGTACCCCTAGACTGGGTTGCTAGAACTACATTAGGCCAGGTAGCACCTAGGGTGGCAGAGTAAGTAGGAAGCAAGAATCCATCTGGTAGGGAGCAAGGTGTGAACTGCCAGGCCTACTACAGTGAGATCCAGCACATGGTAGAAACTGAAGGCCCTGTGTGCAATTGACAGCTCAGAGACAACCTCTAGACCAGCCCTGATGTTAATCAGTGACCTGCATGCCAGTAAGACACACATGAGTTTTGGCCTGCCTGAGTTCCAACCCTGGAGTGGGCTTGGAGCATACCTCCTCCCAAGACCATGCAGGTCCCTGCAGCTGTGTGAGATTGAGGTGTGGCCCAGCTTAGTGCTAGTCTTGGTAGTCAAGTGACTGCACCACTAATCCCTCAACCTCAAGCAGTGCAGGTATCACCAGGAGGATACTCACAGAAATAGTGAAATAGTTCCTGGCACCAGGAAAGACCCACACTGCAGTGGAATAGACTTGTGTTTTGGCCTGCGTCACTCCTAGCTGCAGTTGAGCCATGGTGCACACCAAGACTGTTGGTCTTTATGACTGTGAGACTTAGGCATATCCCAGCTTAGTGTCATTCAGGTAGCCAAAGGACTCATTTCACTAACATTACTCACACTGTGGGTAGCGTAGGGAGTGCAAGACCACATTGTTTTAGGAATAGGAAAGGTTGGTAGGCAGAAGATTTTGTCCTACATCTTAGTGCTGGCCTCATGAAACCTAACACTGACTGGGAAGGTCCTGAGGGCTCAGAACCTTAGGCCTGTCTGTGCACAAAGCCTCCAGAACAGCTCCAGAGCCAGGGGACAACAGGTGGCTCCATTCTATTGGATGCATATTCCATCCAGCATTCCCTGAGGCTCGCTGCAGCAGTCATTGCCAGGAGCCTACCTCAGCTTTAGGCAATGCGCGGTAGCGTGGATCACGTTTATGATGAACCTTGGTGGCAGCATCACTAACCACAGGCATCACACAGGAGCTTGGGGCTGATCCATCCACAATAAATTTGCTCAGAACTGGGCAGAGACCTTTAGAACTTGGTTACAGAGGGGTAATGATGGATGAGACATCTGGTTTAACCCTGGCTCCAAGGAGAAAGTTGTGAGGACAGACTACTCTTTCTAGATGCTCTACTGTTTCTTTCTGACCTATACTTCAGTTGTGTGGTTGAGGCAAACTTGTGTTTTGATTGCCCTCTAATAATAAAATAGCTACCACACTGCCAACAGACTCCTGCCACATCTGCACCTGGGTGCTATATACTGTTGAAACATTGAAAGTGAGTACAGGCTAAGAGAAAATAACCCCGTAGTACTTCTGGAAGACTATCACACACAAAACTACATTAGAAAAATGGCATGAATACCTGATCCTTCAATGCCCAGATGGGTGACATGCCAAAAAGCATCACAAACTTTGAGGAAACCATGGCCTCATCTAATACTCAAAATAAGATGCCTGAAATTGACTAGTAGTAAACTGACTAGATAGTAATAGTTGTTTTAAGGAAACCAATGAGTTTGAAGAAAACGGAAATTTCAAGAGATGAAATGATTTAAAAATCACAGAAATTACTGAGCTGAAAAATACACTTAGGAAAATTAAAAACATGACAGAAGGCATCCACACAGGATAAGCAGCAGAATTAGTAAGCTTGAGGATAGGCTATTTGAAAATATACATTTGGAGGAATGAAAACTTATGGGAATTTTGGGACAGTATTTTAAAGCAAATATTCAAGTTATTGGAACTCAAGAAGGAGATTAGAATGTGAAAAGGGTAGAAAGCTTATTCAAAGAAATGATAGAAAACATCCCAAATGTAGAGAATATAAATATCAAGGTCTAGGAAGGTCAAATGTCACTAGACAAATGTAACCAAATTTACACCAAGAAATGTGTAGTGAAACTTTCTAAGATGAACTGAAAATTCTCAGATCTAAGAAAAAAGAAAACAGAGAGGTTACCCCAGTTCTTACAGCAAACTTCTCATCAGAAACCTTATATGCCAGAATATAGAGTATGAGATTTTCAGATTAGTGAAGAGAAGAAACTATCAACTCAGATTACAATACCCAGCAAAGCTAGCCTTTCAAAATAAAGGAGGAATAAAGACATTTCCAGACAAATAAAAGCTGAGATGACATATCTTTGCCAGACCTGTTTTTATAAGAAATGCTAAACTTAGATATTAATGAGCAAGAAGAAAACATTAAGGCATACAGCTCATTGATCAGTTATTTGCAAACAAGTTAGGATGCTCTAATATTGTAAGCATGGTGTGTAACGTATTCATATCTTTAATATGAAGGCAAAACAAAACCAGTAAAAATAACTATTTTAAGAGCAAAGCACTATAGAAAGATTTAAAAGGGGATTATAACAAATTAAGAATAGGAAATAAATGCAAGTTTCATTTTCTTATTACTATAGTTTCTCTTGTTCCTTTGTTTCTGTTCTTTGTGATCATGTTATATTGCTATTATTTCAAAACATGTTGTAATCAAATGATTTTTACAAGCCTAGTAATGACCACAAGGCAAAGCTTTGCAATAGAAAAATAAGGTACCAACTATCCCCCTTTAGTAAATTATGTAGCAGTGGAAGACTAAGAATGGGAAAAGGAGCTACAATAAAGCAAGAAAACAAGTTCCATAATGGCCATGGTACTGCCTTACCTAGCAATAATTACCTTGAATATAAATTAATTCAGTTGTCCATAACAAAAGTAACTGGATAGATAAAACAATAAGACCCAACTATATGTTACTTATAAGAAACACTTCACATCTAAGAACACACATACTAAAAGTGAAAGGATAGAAGAAAGTATTTTATACAAAGGGAATCCAAAAGAGAGAAGGAATAGGCATATTTCTATCATAGAAAATAGAAAAATAGACTTTTAATCAAAAGCATTAAAAAAAGACAAGGAAGTTCATTTTATTACTAAGGGATCAATTCAGCAAGACAGTAATTCTAAATATATATGTATCCCAAATTGGAGCAACTAAACTTACAAAGAAAATATTGATAGACCTAAAGAGAAACATAGATTTCAATACAATAATAATTGTGAGCTCAACACTCCACTTTCAGCGATGGAAAGATCATCTAGACAGAGAATAAGCAGCTGAGTTAAACTGTATCCTAGACCAAATGGATCTAACAGACACTCCCGGAACATTCCATTCAACAGATGCCAAATACACATTTATTCTATCAACACATAGAAAATTCTCCAGGATAGGCCATATTGTAGGCCACAACCAAGACTTGACAAATTTTGAAAAATCAAAATCATGTCAAATATCTTTTCTGACAGTGTAACAAAGCTAAAAATCAAGAACAAGAAAAAAAGTTTGGAAAATATACAAATTCATGGAAATTAAGTTACTTTTGAATAACCAATGGCTCAAGGAAGAAATGAAGAAGGAAATCTAAAACTTTCTTGAAACAAAACAGAAACACATTATATAAAAACCTATGACATACAACAAAAATCAGAGTTTATATCTACCAGTGCTCGCATCAAATAAGTAGAAATATCTCAACCTATCACAGCATGTCAAGGAACTAAAAAAAGAACAAATCGGGGCTGGGGATTTAGCTCAGCGGCAAAGCGCCTGCCTGGCAAGCGCAAGGTCGTGAGTTCGGTTCCCGGTACCGGAGAAAAACCAAAAAAAAAAAAAAAAAAAAAAAAAAAAAAAAAAAAAAAGAACAAATCAAGCCCCAAGTTAGTAGAATAAAGATCAGATCAGAAATAAATGAAAACTAAGAGTACTAAATATGGATGAAACAGCTTGTTTTAAAAAGAGATAAAATAGACAAACTCTTACAAGAGGGGATAAGAGCCTAATTAGAGATTTACAGGGAGAATTTACAATTGATACCAGAGAAATATGATTAGAGACTATTAAAAGCAATGTATGCCAAAATATTTGATAAACTAGAAGTGAAAAATCTCCAAAACATACAGACCTTATCATCAATCATGAAGAAACAGAAATATTAAAAAGACAAATAACAAGTAATGCAATTGAATCAGCAATAGAAAGTCTCCCTCAAAGAAAAGCCAAGGTCCAGATGAATTCACTCCTGAATTCTACTAAATATTTAATGGTTTCTAATTCTCCTTAAATTATTCCAAAAGATAGAAGAGGAACAAATTCTCCAAATACATTTTATAAGGCCAGCATTACTCTTCTACCAATATAAGATAAGGTCATAATCAAAACTATCCTTGATAAACATAGATGTAGAATCCTCAAAAAAATACCAGTAGGACAAAGTGCAACAGCACACTAAAATGATTATTCATCATAATGAAATGGGATCCACCCTAGAGATGTAGGAATGGATAAATATATGTAAATCAGTATAGTACATCATATCAACAGAATGGTGTACAAAAACCATACGGTTATTATAATAGATGCAGAAAAATCATTTGCTAAAACTCAGCATCTCTTCATGATAAAAAATGCTGAACAAATTAGATATAGAAGAACATACCTCAATATAATAAAGGCCATTTCTAAGAGGCCAACCCTAACATTACACAGAATGAGGAAAAGCTGAAAGCTTTATAAGACCTGGAACAAAGCAAAGATGGCTACCTTCATCATTTTTGTTTAACATAGAGCAGTCAGACAAGAAGAATAAAAAAGGGCATCCCAATTAGAGAAGCCAAATTCTCACTGTTGCTGATGGAAAGATTTTATATACACATAACTCTAAAAACTATTAGAAATAATAAACGAATTCAGGAAAGTTGAAAGATACAAAATTAACACACAAAAATCAGTATCATTGTTACCTTCACAATAGCTGCTAAAATAAAATACCCAGGAATATTTTAGACTAAATTTGGTAGGGAAAGAAGTGAAAGAGCTCTAAAATGAAAATTATATACTATGCATGAAAGAAATTGAAGACAGAAAAGTGGAAAGGTTTCAGTGTGCACAGATTTTTAAAAAATTGATATTGTTAAAATGCCCATACCAACCAAAATAACTTAAAGATTCACTTTTAATCCACATCAGAATACTAATGATATTCTTTTCAGAACCAGAAAAAATGTAAAATTTATATGTGACTATGCAAAAAAAAACCTTGAATAGCCAGTCTCATCTCAAGCAAAAGGCATACTACTTGATTTTAAAACATACTACACATCTTAGTAATCAAAACAGCATAGTTTTGACATTAAAACAAACACATAGACCAATGGAATTGAATAGACAGTCTAGAATTAAACCCAGATATCTATAGCTAACTACTTTTAACAAAAGTGTTAAGGCTATTTATTGGTGCAAGAACAGACTTTTCAATAAATGGTGTAGGAAAAATTGGATAGCCATATGCATAAGAATGAAACTAGCTCTCTACCTCTCAACATATAAAACAATGAACTCAAACAATATATAAATTTAAATATAAGACCTGAAACTCTGAAACTCCTGGAAGGAAACACAGGGGAAATACTTGAATGGGCCAAAGTATTTTTTTTTTTTTAAGAAAAAGACACCTCAAAAGCTTAGGAACCAAAAGCAAATACAAATGTGATTGCATCAAATTAAAAACTGCACAGAAAAGGAAATAACAGAGTGAAGACAACAAAGATGGATAAAATATTTGCCAGTTATACAGTAGATAAGGGATTGAAATCCAGATTATATAAGAAACTCCAAAGACTCAATAGCAAAACAAACAAAAACCCTAAAAACTAATTAGAAACAGGTAATAAGTCTAAATAGGCATTTCTCAAAAAAGACAAATGGCCAATAGTTACATGAAAAAATGCTGAACATCACTAGTCATCAGGAAAATGCAAATTAAAACCACAATATCACCTCACCCCAGTAAGATTTGCTATTATCAAAAAGATTGATGATCACTAGGGCTACTGTAGGTAAGGAGAAAGGAGAACCCTAGGTCACTGTTGGTAAGACTGTAAGTTAGTACAGCCATTATAGAAAACAGGAAGTTTCTTCAAAAATAAAAAAGTAGAACTACTACATGATCCGGCAACTCAACTGCCAATAGAAATGACTTCAGTGTGTTAAAGAGTCTTCCGCACTTCTGTGTTCGTGGTAACATGATTAGCAAAGGCTAAGAAATGAAAACAAGCTTAAGTGTCCATAGTGGATGAATATGTGGTACATATACACAGTGGAATTGTATTTGGCCATAAAATGCATCATATCATTGGCAACAACATGGATGAAAGTAGAGATCACTATTTAAGTAGAATAATCCAGCATAGAAAGACAAGTACTACAGTGATATCATTCATATGTAGCATCTGAAGAAGTTGATCTCATAAAATTGAGAGTAGGGTGGTAGATACCAAGGAGAGTTGGAGTGAGATGGAGGAATGCTAACTAGTGGGTACTGAGTTATGGTTAGATTAAAGCAAAAAGTTCTTAAGTGCTATTGCGTGGTAGGGTAACTCTAGAAAACAATGCACGGCACATTTCAAAAACTTAGAAGAGGGCCGGGGATATAGCTCAGTGGCATGAGCAGTTGCCTGGCAAGTGCAAGGTCCTGAGTGTGATTCCTGATACTAAAAAAGAAAAAAAACTTAGAAGAAAGAATTTTAAACTTTTCCTCATAATAAATTTTTTAAGAGATATATTTCATCTGATTCAAGCATTACACAATGAATGTATGTATTGAAAAATAATACATATGGTATTTCCTGAATACATACAATTTTTATATTTATATGTATAAAAATAAAAATAACTCATAATATAAACAGTTGACTACCTGACCAATTGTAGTTGTCCTAATCCACATAGATCAGTGACATCATATACTGTATGTATAAACTTGTGTGCTCATATAATTCTTTTTCTAATGCAAGTTGTGTTTCAATAGGTGCTCAGCATTGCTGTATAGGGGCAAGGGATACTAATATGCTTGAAGCTCAGAATCTTTAGATTCCTTCAGAATTAGCTATAAATAAAGTTTTTGTAATTTGATTTTTAAGGTGCTCTTAAGGAACCACTATGTTTTTGGTCAAGACATCTGATACAATACAGTGAAGTAGGGTAATAATGAAGGTTGAAGAACAATTTCAGTCCTAATTCAAGTTAAGACTCCCTGACATCAGGGCAAGCCTTCTACAGAAGTGAGTGATATTTCTGTGTATTTCATCAGGTAACTTTAGTTGAGCCTTAGAATTACCCACTGTGGCCTCAATATTACAAAGTTTGTTCAAAGAAAGATATGTACTATTTTAAGACACCCTAGTGTTCAAAATAGCTGCTATTTCTGTCATTTCTCAGCAGACTGTGGCTTTTGATTCATAGACTATCATGCTCCCTTAATCCTGCATTGCACATGGAAAATGTACCAGATTTATCGTTTGAGCTCAAACAGCTCAGAAACTTACCATCAGGACCTGCAGCAGTTTCAGTGTCACTGGAGCCCTGGCTTTTCTCAGAAGCTGTAGGTGTGTCTTCGCCTAGAGCTGAAACAAGGAAAGATGATCGGCCTTGATTAGAGAATTATAACAGCCTTACTGCCAATTGTTCTGTCAACCACCATTGCCCTCTTAAATTTAAAAATACTCCTGGGATTCAACTTCTTTTGCAGAGAAGGTTAAAGGAGGAAATAGTAGGTTGAGTTGCCTGAATACTTTAATGCTGTCTTCTAAGTTTTGAGATAATTTATTTGTGAGATAATCACATATATACATACATAAATACACAGTTTCTCGAATTAGAAATCTGGCAGTATAAAAGAAAGAATGTGGCTTAATCAGCACGATGTATAATTTAAATTTAGGGAAGTAAGTGTGTGTCTGAGACAGGGAGAGAGAATTTAACCTCTGAATGGAAAAAAGTAAAACTTCTTTTGCTGGAGGCATGCTTGAAAGTTGAAAGATCTGTCCTCTAGACAAGGAAGCTTTGGGTTGTTGTTAAAAACAAATGAATGATGGATTTGGTCCCAAGCAGATCTTTACAGATGCTGCCTTATTGGATTGCTGATGATCCAGTGTGAGCTCATTTCACAGTGAACATCTTTGGAAGGTGAGTTCCCCTTCAACATAGTCAAAGGTGCAAAATGCTTAAGTTTAGCAGGGAGGTATTGTTGTCTCACACTGTGAAATTTTCCAGACTGTCCCAAAGGACATTCTTTTATTTTTTAAACATCACTTATGTTTTCCCAACCAGGAGAGCAAGGGCATTTTTTAATAAGTATGAATAAAGATAAAAATGCTAGAAAACCAATTGATTTTCATTATGTGGAGTACTTATGGGGCAGAGAGTCTGTTAGACTTGGTGCCCCTGCTGGCAAGTAGGAAGGGATGCAAAAGATCCAGTTGGTAATCCTTTCAAAGAGGACAGCTTCAAAAGTAAAAATTTGCACCCTTTAATTATTTACTGAAGCTGACAGTCAGAAGCGTGACTCAGAGGTGGCCACACTCTGAGCCTGAGAGGGTGGGTAGTATAGAGGTCAGAAATTGCCAAAATAGATGTACAGGGGAAAAGATGAAGAAAGCTATTTTAGATCCGAGGTCTAAAGGAAAGGAACACTTTTAAGAGGCTTTTGCATGGAGTGTGAGGGAGAGAACTGTGAAGTAAACATATGGAGGTTTGGGAGATGTTAGTATAGAGTAACATTGATGTTAGGAGATTAGATAAAATACCCAGGAAAGAAAAACACAAAAAGGAAAAAAATGATTCCCAACACCCTTCAAGGATAATGTGAAAGTCACTGGGTCCATGAGTTCTAGTTCTTGAGGATAAGACTGGGAAAGGAAAGCAAAACTTGAAACCTCCAGCTGGATCTGCCAACATTAGGTCATATGTCTCACTCTGCCACTCCCAGAAAATATGTCAGCTTCCAATTTTTCATCAACATGCTTCTTTATACAAGAAGAAACACTGATGGGCTCCTCTAAACTTGAGAAAAGGAAATGTTTGCTACTGAACTTAAAACATAGAAGTAATAAGGAAAAAAAGAGAATTACTTGACTTCATCGACATAGGAATAAGTATACCAATAACGGAGGAAATATTTAAAAAAGGGAAAGTTATCAATTGAAAAATACTAGCACCTTCATCGTAAAATGGTTAATTATCACTAGCACACAAAGAGTACCTAAAAATAGAAATAGAGATCAACAACTCAATAGAAAAATGTACAAGTAACTTGATGGATAGTTCATTCAAAAAGCAACAATAATGGCCTGAAAAGTACAATGAAAAGATAATTCACTTTACTAAGAAGAAAATAAATAGAAGTTAAAATTTTTTTTGACCAAGGTTGACCATCATGATGCAGAGTAACCCTCCTACAAAGAACACCTAGAAGCTCTGGACAGATTATTAAAAACAGTGATGGCCCCAGGGGGCTATGAACACTGCACAAAGTTTAAGAGATGCAAAACAGGGAGCTGACATCCCACCTGTACCAAAAACAGTTTCCAGATGCCTTTGAGGGCTGAGAGGAGGCAACACCTGTAAGAAGTTGCCTGATAAACAGCTTGGGCTTTCTGTGGGGTCCCCTGAAGAGTTATATCCTGGGGCAAAGATGAACTCAAAAATAAATAAGCTTCTATAAAAACTTAAGTTCAACTTTTAATCAAAATAATTCCAGCTCAGATTACAGTTTTCTATCCTACTGCCTATCAGAAGCAAAAATAAATCCTCTCTGGAGGAAGATTAAAACTACTCAGAGCTTCAAGTTATCCCTACAGTTTTTCGAGAACAGTATCTAGCATTCAACAAAAAATTACTGAGGATTCCAAAAGTCTAAGAACAAATCACTGAAAACTAAGGGAATAAAAAAGACAACACGCAGAGAAACATCAGAGGCCCAGATATTGTAGACACAACTTCAGTGGTCAATGTGCTTAAGAAATTGATTGCAAAGTGTAAAAATTTTAATGGCAGTGAAGTTTGTCAGAAAACTGGACGCTATTGAAGTGAGAGGACAATTTTAAAACTGGAAAAACCTAAGAATTCAATGGATGACTTTGACAGCATCCTGATACAGTAGAAGAAGGGATCAATAAACTGAAAGCTAGATCAGAGGAAAACATGAAAAATACAGATAAAATATTGGTGACATATAAGATAGGAACTATCCTATGTGTAATAGGGTAAAATATTGTAAGAGAGATAATTTGCTAAAATCAATGGACAATGTAGTAGGAATTTTGTTTGATATATCAAATGCTTCAAGGATGTCATAACACTAAGGGAAATTAGTGCACAACAAACCTCACTCAAGCCAATCATTACAAAATTGTTGAAAACAAAGATTAAGAAAAAGTATAAAATTATGTAGAAAAATTAAATAACTTTAAAACCACAGTAACATTTTAGATGAGCTGCAGTCAAATTAATGGAATCCAGCAAAAACGCAATGGCATCTTTTAAGTGCTAAACATATTACCTTTGCTATAAAATTTCATACTCAAATGTTTTCAAATTTGAGTTTGAAATAAATTTTTCAGAGAAAGTAACTCCTGAGAACTTGCTATCAATAGGCCTATACTGAAGTAATACTTTCCACTATACCAAGAAGTAAGTTCCAGGTAGATTATAAACTAACTATAAAAGGTAACATAGAAGAAAGATCCTCACATCATTAGGCAAATATTCTTAAATGGGAAAAAGCAACCACTAACCAGTAAGCCTTATAAAAATGTTAAAATTAGAAATATAACATTTATTAAAACACATCATTAAGAGTGCTAAGGAGTCCTGCACAGAATACCTGAAGAAATAAATATACCAAACAGCATAAAAGACAGAGTACGTAGTAAAAAAAAGCACGATATAAACAGACATGTCACAAAACAGAATACCTTGGCTTATCACTGAGTTTTTTGAACTACTTTTACCAGTTCTCAAGGCATAGAAAAAGCCTTATGTTTTTCACTAGAGAAATGATTATAGGATATTAGGTCTCCTTACTAACTCTCTCAGATGCTATCAGGACTAATTACAAGAGAATATTATTGTTATTTTTATAAGAAATGATTACTATAGAAAAAAAAATCAGTACAACTAATGTTACCTAAGACTACATCCTTAAATATCTTGTTAGGATTCTTGGTTTTGAAGGGATCTAGAGGTAACCATGGCTGACTACAAGGATTTTGAAAGAAATTTCCTGAAACAATTGCTACTAACAACCCTGCGGACATTTCTTTGACAAAACACCTTCAGCATCATGGAGGAGTCTCTTTCAGATAGGCAAGATGCTAGTTTATTAAATGATACTCAGTGAAAATGAGAGGATATGAAACACTTATAAAAACTACATGAAATAAGGAGAAAGTTGAAGCAAGTGAAATCTAAAAGGCAAATTAAAAAGATAAACTCGAGGTTTCATAGGTAAATAGATGCAAGTACAGACCATACTCCTAAATGAAATAAATCAGACCTGCATGTGTAAACATCATACTGTCTCCCTAGTGCAAAAACCTGAAAGAGTAAATAAAATCTAAAGAGCACAATAGATACTGTGAAAGGGAAAGAAACTGCTCAAAGGGAAGGAACAATTGGGATGAGTGAAAGGAGAAAAGAAAAAGGAAGGGAAAAAATATATATGTATATACACAGGATAGCTGGGACAATTGTACTACTGATTTCTACTGGTCTATTGAAAGGAACAGTTAATGTTTAATTTTTTTTCTTTTAAATTTTTTAACCAATTTTGCATGCTTATATCTGGTAATCTGAACAACTAATTTGAAGATAACAATATGCAATATAACAACCATTGTTGAATTCCTATCATTTTGTTTAGTGAAATTCTATATTGTTTCTAATGTTCTTTTAAAATTATTTTTTATTCCCTTTAAAAGAAAAAAAATAAGAAAGGCAAATTAGTAAAGAGTAAAATTTAAAGTGGCTTGCCCTATGTTGGTCCTTTTACCCTCATTATTTTGTAATAGAATGTGTGAGAAGTCTCAAATTGTGCCACTCCATTGGCACAGATTAGCGTAATGTGTGATGGCAGGTTTGAAATCCACAACAAAAATAAAGAAAAGCAACAGCCCGAATTGTAGCTCTACATACAACCAAATTCCTGGGGGCAAGGGAAGGCCTTATCTATTAGATCTTCTTTCAAGGACCCTAAAGGTCTATCTAGGAGCTATGATTTGTTTAACATTATAAGTATATATGATGTCTGCTTGTATGTGTGTACATGTAGTATGAATACACAGCTCTATGTGTACACTGGCATACTTATGTGAATTTGCATGTGCATGTGTATATGTGGATTTGTGTGTATATATGTGTTGTGTGTTTGGAAAAGAGGAGAAAAACAACAGATATTTTTCACTTTGACACAGATGTGGAACTGGCTTCTATCCTGCTGGGTCCTAGAGAAATGAGTCCATTTTACATAGACAACAGAATCTGATCAAAACATAAATTGCCTCCATAGCCTGTTCCAGTTTGTGTGCCCCCGCCCCCCACGATTTTGATTGCTGCTGCTTGGAAC